GTAGGTTACTAACGTTGGTATACGTAAATATTTTTTTATACATTGGCGACCCTAAAAAACTGGTCGGCCACCAGTTTTGAAAATCGCTGGTTATGTGATGTTTAGTACAGCACTAAATAACAATATTATTATATCTTAACAGCCGTCTACAGTCGACGGTGACTAACAGAAAAGCGCCGTCTCCGACGGTTTGGGTGCGCATGAAACGCATGTTCGGGAATGGCCGTATTAACCTCGCATCTATTCTGATTGTTCGTCCGGCCGGCGACCACTATAATAACTCTGCCGATCGATTGGAAACCTTTTCGGAAGACGGCGGTTGTAGCGACGGTGACTTACGTCAGTTGCAAGTGCACGTGCCGGTCTGAGGTGCACCGGCAACGGCGGCGGCGGCGGCGCAAGAATTGCAGCCAAAGGAGGTTGACCGCGGAAGGTCACCGCGACCGCAGCCACCGCATTTGGGGCGGTCAATCGAGCACAGGTATGCTGCAGCACGTTTCCGGTGCCGAACCGTCGGCTGACCTATTAATCCGGGACGAGGCGGCCGATCTGCATTAGCGCGAGACGACGTAATCGCATCGCCGGCCGCGGTCGGGTCTGACCCTCGTCGCCCAGTTACGCTGTGCCGCGACTGCTGTTGATGGACAACCGTGCTTAAGCACTTCGACGGCGCAAAGAGTGTGTGTATGTTTATTTATTTGTGAGAAAGGGCGATCGTAAACTCCACCAGAACGTACAGGTTGAGATAAAAAGATAGGTAATAAAAGGTCTAATTAAAAAAAACCCAACCTCCACCAGTTTTTTTTTTTTTTTTTTTTTGTTTACTCGTTCAGTGTTTAGTGCTCACATTGCCGTGTGCCTTCTCACATTAATTACGTTAATATCTATTGCGATGATATATACTATACTAATGAAGTAATACAAGACTTAGAATATTTACAAATTATATCACTACATCATTTTAGTTTACATACATGACATAAATATATATTTTTGTATTATTAGATATAACGATTATTTATTAGGTACTATTTTTAACGATATGATATTATTATTATAACTTTTTTTTTTTAATAATATATCATATTAATTTTATACTACTACTTGATTTTCTTCACTGGCGGAGTTTACATGAACTCAATTTTACCTGTTATTTTTTTCTGGCGGAGTTTACAGTAAAAAAAGGTACTTGAGGTGGAGTTTACATGCGCCCGTAAGAAAGACTATGGATAACTTTTTAAAATGAGTTTGGTTAAGAGGATGTCGCGCCCACATGTGTTATCACTTATTTCCGACTCACACGCGTACGACACGGTAAATTTTCGTTCTCCAGTTCCAATAGTGTACTTTTTGTTTTGATATTAGAGTGAGTTGACTTATTATCAAACTTTTAGCTAAGAACATAATCTGTTATCTTTCGTTTATTTTTACGATATTTTATTTTTTAAGTGAGTTATAAGTATTTTTTAGTATTTATATATTTCATACTCATAACTCACTTAAAAAACAATATCTATTACCTCGGTATCTTAAAAATCAATGAGAGAAAACAGATAATGTTCTTAATTAAAAGTTTGATAATAGGTCAATTCACTCTAATATCAAAACTAAAAGCACACTATTGAAACTGGAGAACGAAAATTTACCGTGTCGTACGCATGTGAGACGGAGACAACACATGTGGGAGCGAGGTCCTCTTAAGTCTTAAGATTATTGAACCGTGAAATCTATTAAAATTACCTATCCCACGTCCAATTTTGTGTAATTATATTTAATACTCACAGACGGATTCCTTATGGTCGAAAGTTTTAATTTACAGCATTAATACTTATTTATGGATATTCCAACCTGCTGGTCTCAAACTTTGAGGACGTTGCTTGTATTAAAACGTTTTCGTCAACTCCGACGATTTTACACATACCGAATACTTTTTATTTCGTTATTGTTACGGTCGTTACGAATTCAATTCTCAAAAAAATGTCGTTAAAATTACATTATCTGCTTATTCATTTTACACGATCGTTTTTTTTTTTTTTTTTACCGTACCAATTATACCACATAACAGGAAAAAAATAGAAATATTATTTAAAAACAATTGTCGAGAAGAGCAGCTAGAAAAAAAAAATGTTAGCATAATATGCATATCATTTCACCTTAGAGTCAAATGGAATACGAAAATTGGAATGCACCACTGCATCAGTAGCACCACATGTCCATTAAAATATAATTCAATGACTACATTTAAAAACATTTTTTTTGAGCGAAGTCGGGTAATGCCCGCCCATATTAAATAACCAATATATTACAGAAAAGAAAAGAAAAAATAATTTATAATTGTTTGTTATTCAAATATTGAAATATATATCAAAAATCAATGTCTATATGACATTGATAAAAAAAACTCTATATGACTCAACAACTAAAATACATTAAAATTATTTTTACGTAGGTATAATTAATGCACATAACATATAAACGAAGTAGAATGAAAAATACATGGAAACAAACAGCAATAGGTGTTGCCAACCCTAATTGATATAAAAAATGAACTTTTTTGAAAAAAAAAATTTCAAAAAAAAAAAAAAAAAAAGGTAACATACTCGTGAAAATCATAGCTTAATCAATAAGTTCCTATTTTACATGAATATTTATAATTATCTAGAAATAAGTTATTGTTTTTTTTTTTTTTTTTTTAAATTAAGTAATATAATTAGTGGAATTAGTTGTATTTTTTAGACATATTTATTTATTTTTTTAAATTAAAGTTTATACACTAATTATCTACAAAAAAAAAAAAAAAAAATATAATATGTCTAATATTTACAGCTAAAAAATTTAATTTGTATTTTATCAATATTCATTTGCAAATTCATAAATTACCATATGTAATAATAACTATACTACACACTTTCAAGTTTTAACCCCTTTTTTTTTATAATAATATTATACAAAATTTAAATAGGTATTCAACACAGATATTACCTTCCAGACAATTTTTTTCATATACAGATAAACTATTTATTAATTATTAAAAAATTAACTAGCATGTTTAATATGCATACTTATAATATTCACACTTCACAGTTCACAGTCTTGTCAAGATGCTAATTAATATTAATTAATTTTTATTTCAATAAGAAATAATTGATGACAATATTATAATTTATTGACTAGGTCAACATTAAAATGTCATCATAGGCTATCTTTTTATATTTTGTCAACATAAACTCTGAATAATATGGTAAAAAGTAACGAGTATATTGATTGCATTACTACATTTAAGGAAATTATACATAAGCTCTAAAAGAAATATTTATAGGTTTGTTGAATTAACTGGCATTAGGTTGGTTAATTTGAGTTGGATCTTCAAATACTGGTGGTTGAGGTCTGAATTGTTCAGCTGACATGTGCATAAAAAATAATCCAAACCCTTCAATCATTGCCAATAGTAATCCTCCAAAAACAGCACTAGCTGTCATAGCTGGTATCCCATTACGTGCTGCTAATATACCACCGGTCAAAGCACCACTAGCTATAGAATTCCACGGGTCTTCTTTTTTTCTGATGGCCACTAGTGAACAATCAATGGTTGAAAATAATCCTCCCCATATGGCAAAACTACCACCTATATTGGGTGCTTTGGTTGCAACAGAATGAAAAGCTCCCTATAAAATACCCAAATTGATACACAGTTAGTATACCGACTAAAATAATAGAATTACATTAATTAAAGCATATAATAATGTATAACAATTTAGTTAAAATGAGTTTATTTTTTTCAAAGTTTACAATGTTTTATCATTGAACAGATTAAACACAATCATAACAGTTGAAAACTAGTATACAGCAATCCGTTTTCCGCAGTTCTTTTCTATAGTAATTAATAATTATTTCAGTGTAAACCCACAAAACAGTTACTAATTTAATAATTTAGAATTTTTAATGAATACTAACATTTAATAGTTTTATTAACTACTAATATTTATTTAAACATTTTAAATAATGGGTTATTATAGTTTTAACTTTATTTTTCGTGCTTTTATAGTAATTTAAATTATAATTATTATCAACATTAAATATTATTCAATTATTTGTAACATTTTTTATGCATAAAAATTTAAACAGTTAATATAAAAAACAAAATACTGTTATCATTTCTTAAAGTTATATAATACAATATTCTTGAAATTTTAAATTTTAGTTCCAAAGTTCATTTCATCAATTATTTTTATTTATAACACAAATGTGTCACTGAAAAAATATAAACAATTTTATTTTTCTTAAATTTTATTTATAAATTTATATAAAATGTATTATAAGCTAGAAGTTTAAATTTGAAACATTCAACAAATTTATTAGCTGAATTTTAAATTTTAAATATTTGGATGTTAATAGTTACTTATAAATATATTATTAATACTATAAAAAAATGTAAGAAGTTAATTGTATTTACAATTTTTTTAAATGAAAAAAATTGAACTTACATTAAAACGTCTATTAACTCCTGTGGGAGCATTACGAAAACCTTTTATTCCTTGAAAAATACCACCACCAATAAGACCCATAGCAAAAGCACCACCAAGATCTTCTAATATTCTCATTGGACATGGTTCTCTCCCAAATTCTTCCATAGTTTATTTCTGTATTAGGTTATTAAAATATCTGAAAAGCCAAATAGTATTTATTATTAAAATATCTATGAAAATAAAATCCTAACATTTCTAAATCATTGAATGTTTATTAGGTTTTTAATGCAAAATAATTATTTAAAAACCTAGTTAGTATAAATACTGATATCATTGTAACTATAAATAATATACTAGGTCTAATTTTATAACCAATTTTTATAATTCTCTTGATAATAATATAAGATGGTATATATTTAGTGAAAATCTTATTTATTTAACACTCTAAATATCAATAATACATTAAATATGTTTTTATATATATACATAGACATACAAATTTAATATTTTTTCAAAATTTGATTTAGTGGCATTGTATTAAACAAATAATAGTATTTTACAAAATTATGTCTTATTATTTAAAAGTTATAAATAATTAAGTTTAAAATTCATTCTCTTTCAGGAGATTCAATTCTTGGTCTTTTGTTGAGTACTTCTTCTCTCCTATTTCGTACATTATGATTATATTTAAAATTGTTGGAGAGTTTTAAAACCACTTTTGGATTTTCTTTGACATCTTCCTTAACAACTCTAGGAGTCCAATTGTTTTCGGTTAAAATATCATAGATCTCTTTACATGTTTGATTAACTATTACATTAAAATATAATTTTTCTGGATTAAGGAACTTGACAATTTCTCTTAATTCCTTACAACTAGGATGGCTAGAATAACAAACTCGGGTTATATTATTTTTAACTATAACATGACCACCTGTGTTTATCACATCTTTGGTAAATGCTAAGGCATTAAGCTGTACACATTTTACATTTTTATTTAATTTCATACAATTAATATTATCCGTGTCACATTCATATTTTGAACATGCATGTATTCTATTATTAGTGTAAATAGGAGTTACATAGTTGTCTAATTCTGGTATTGAACTATACAATTCTTCATACTTTTGTTTATGCACATGAATAGAACATTTGAAATGTTTAGCAACTTCAACTATGGCAAATTCTATGCCTACATATCCAGGCATCCACAAACAAATTTTATTATCAGGGTTTTGGTATAACCATTCTTCAACTACTTTTATCAAGTTGGAACTACTTTCCTTTCTAGTTGGAAATTCGTAATAATTTTTTGATGCAAAAGTAGTATCTAAATATAATGCAGATATATTCTTTGGACCATGATTACCTTCTTTATCTATCAAAAGTGGTTTAAATAATTTGAAATTTTGTAATTGTACTCGGAAATCTCCTGTATATAAAATACGATGTGTACCAGCTTCAATCAAAAACATGACCGACCCTGGACAATGACCAGCTGGTAATAGGGTCACACAAATGTATTCAAATTTATCTGAATGTACTTTTAATGAATTAGGGAAACCAATTTCAAGAGATATAAGCTTGTCTTCTCTAAGATTAATGGTTTTATTTCTCTTTAAAAATGTTATTGTCAATGGTGATGCATAAAGCATCATGTTGTTTTTAGTATTATTGAACGCCTCTTGAAAAAAATGATCTTGAATTCCTCGCATGTGGTCTGTATGAAAATGGGACAACATAAAAGTAGAACAACTCAGAAGATGTGACTCAAAACAATCAATGCCAATGAAAGATAATTCCTTCTCTTCTAATTTTCCACAAAAGGTAGACATTTTCCTGGAATAACAAAATATTTAAGAAAATCCAAGAAATGATAACACTTCATTTTCAATTCAGAATCTAAAATCATATTAACAATAAATAATTTAAAATATACATATTTTGTTTCAAATAGCCATAAGAACAGCTTGAAATCTATTTTAACTGTCTTAAAATATATATTAAAAACTAAAAATATTATAAAACTTAATTATCAAATAGAAAATATGACATAGATTTTTAAAAATTATAGCTAATTATAAATACCTATGCAAATACACAATGCCATATACTGATAGAATTATGAAAATATTGAATTTACAATGTTAGTGCATAATTTGTTACCTATCTCTCTCTGACCCACACATGACATGGCAAATCTGATTAAATTTATATATTAATAATAAATAAGTAAAATATCTCTAATACTAAAGCTAACAAAAAATTATACCTGCTATTAAACTGAAATTTGATATATTGTGGTATAGGATGTTGATCAGGGAAAGAAAATAAATATGTACTAATATCTACTTAATTTAAATTTTAAAAATTATAGTTATAACTTAATTATACCTATTATTAATCATAGTATGTTTATCTTAAGAAATATTATGTTTTGTTGAAACAATTATTTTTAACCAGTTTATGCATTTATAATGTTTAAATTATACTTGATTCAACCTACCTCTATTCATATTTTTATTTTATGATTCAAAATATTGGATTAAGTTATTAGGTATACCAATTATGTATTAATATTCGGATAAAGACAAAGCATTTCTATCTAATTAATAATTACTTAACACTTTAATGTATAGAGAATTTCAATACTAAAATAACATTAAACATATTTGTACTATTAATCTAAAAAAAAAAAATAATTTGTTTTAAGTATATTTTATTTTATTTTCACATTCATGGATCACTGTCAAAATTAAATAATTTAAATTTGGCTGATTAAAGTTATTCATATATCCATTATCAAATAAAAAGTTTATTTGACCATAATAACACTTTTTTTTAAGAAGACAACTTATTCAAATTATTTGATAAGGACATAGCTTGAGGAGTAACTTATTTAAAATAGTATTTAACCAATTTTAGCTAATATTATGTAATCTTTATAAAAATTGAATTACCACTGAATAGTGAATACTGATATTACATTGACATTTACTAGACGTATAATAAAAAATAATATAGATAATATACTAGTATACCAATAAATTTATTTCTGTTAATTATATAAAACATATATGTCAATTATAGGAAACTATTAATACTTTACTTACGATTAGCTGAACGATGAATGTTGAGTTGAACAAATTCTTAATTCTTTATTTCTATTCCATATTTCTATGTATTTAATATTTATAATATTTTTATCAATGATATTTAAGTTTGATGGTTAGGTTAGAAATTAATATTATTCATCCATCTCAATTTCAAGGAGTATAATAATATATACTTCCCGCCAAAAGTTTAAAATTTTCAAGTAAAAATATATCTTTAAATGTATATAAAATTGAAATTGGAATTAGTTTTCAGTTGAATTTTGAGCAAATAACCAATGATTGCTCATAAAGATCAAAAAACTTCTCATCATTAAGTAGTTCTGAAATTTGTTTCTTTGTTGTATCAACAATAATGTGCATTGTTTTACATCTTTATTCTATATAATAGTTGATTGCTAGTTAAGTGATAAGCAATGAATGGTATTTAAAGTTTCGTTTAAACAAACAATTTTTATAATAACTTCAAGCTGTAGGACCAAATTGTGTGCCTTGGCAGCTTTTCATTTTTAAAACTTCTTTAAATGCATTAAGAACTTTTAAAATATCATTAAAATGTTTTTTAAAAAATGTAATACCCTTGTATTCTAAAATCCACCTTATTATATATATTTATATATTGTTATATTGAATTTTAGTTTCATCTAAAAAAAAATGCTAGATTAATTTAATATTTTAAATTTTCTAATTAAAAGTTTGAAAAAAAGTTATTTAACAATTCATGGTAAAAAATATAATCACACTAAATATATATTTTTAATTTTTTAATAATCGCTTTATTGAAATAATGGTTTGGATGATTACTTTTTTAAATATTTACTTGCTTAAACCATAAGTTTTGTATATTTTTTTGTTATTTCATTAGTATTTAATTTTTGCGTTCAATGTTGATTGCAAAAAAAAAAAATTACAGCCATGTTCACAATTGACCATAATAATTGTTGTAATCTTACTATATTTTAAAATATATAGAAAGTATTTATATTAAAAAAAAAAATCCAATTAGTATTAACTTTGCAAGTTTGCAATTATTGTAATATAAAATAAGATAACTTAACAATTAACAATTAAAAATAAAATTTTACACTAATTGGTAACATAAATTCACAAGATTTAATAGTTTTCAATTAATCAATGTAAACTTCAATATTTTTTTAAATAACAAAATTAAAATATTAAATACTGTTAATTAAAATATAATCAAATCTTAAATATTGTATTTTACTGAAAACAAAATTCAAAATAATTATATTAATTAGGGTATTCAATACATGAAAACACGTATATGTAATAACCAGTTCTAACAGATGGAAAATCAGTATGAAATATTGATAAAATATTTTTGTATTTTTCTTTAGTTAAAAATGATTGTACTTTTTTTGATAGTTTGTCAAACATAACTATGTGTGTTGGTAAATTGTTATTACTCTCAAATAAATACGACTCTTCAAGCCACTTCTTAGGATTTTCAAAAAATACATCTGCTTCATCAGTATAATTTGATATGCCATGAAGGTTTGGCTCACATGTTAAAATTCTCGCAGTTATGTTCAAATGAAGATGACTGTAAAGTGGAGTTGAATGACATGGCATTAGAAATAATAATGTTGAATTTTGAGGTATCTTAGCTAAATGTGACATAACAGTGGTAGACCCTATCTGATGATATCGTCCCAAATAAATTAATACAATGATATTTAATATGACTGTAAGAGTTCCTAATTTTATAAACTTTTCACAAATTATAGAAATTTGTTGAGATGTAATAAAGAATATCATTGGAAACAATGGCAGTAGAAACCGTTGTTCTTTATGAGCAACCATACTCAACACTGACAAAGACCAAAATACTGTGATTACTAATTTAGAATCAGTATCATAAAGATTAATGTGCCTTAATTTTTTGATAAAACAATAAATTAATACAAAAAATATAGGTCCCAACACTGGTGGTAATCCACTGACAAAATACCAATACCAATTCTCAACAGAATAATGAGCATTGACTTTTTTTATAATATTATAATACAAAAAATTCCACTGTGTTACAACAAAAGAACCATGAAGATATGAATCTAATGTTATAGAAAAAATAATTGCCAAAAGACTAATACAAATATATCTAGCTAAATTATTTACAGTGTAACGTTTGTGAGCAAAAAAATCAAATAGAATTAATGGAATCCAGACTATTATTGCTGTTGGGCGCATAATACAAACAAGAGCAACTATCCATAAAAATTTGACATCTTTACTTTTTAATGACCAAGGGTAGTAATACAAAGCAATTGTTGTCAAGTTGGTTTCTACTGTATTAATTAATGTACGTGTTGAACAATATGCTAAAAACGGATTTGACATATAACATACTACTGGCCAAAATATTTTTGAACATTTAGTGTGTTTTTGCATCCAGCACACAAAACAATAATCCGAGAATGTTGAAAAAAGTGTTTGTAAAAGGCGTGGACTCCATATTATAAGTTGTAATGTATCCAGTGAGAACAATTTTAAAATTTTATATATCATTACAATCCAAGAGATGGAAATATAACTTCTGATACCAACGACCCATTCCCAAGTACGATATCCAAAGCCAAAAGTAAGGTAATGAGCTATCTCCAAAGACTGCCAATATTCATCTGGGACATACCATGAACGAATTATGTATAGATGAAACAATCTTATAGTCAATAATGTACTGACAATCAACAATGATGGATATTTCATGTTTCAACAATGGATAATTGCATATTTATGTAACTTCTTAGTAAATCTTCTTTTTTTGACCATCAGTCTGAAATATATTTAATAAATTATTAATCAATAATCATGACATAAAAAATCCAAAGGATAATTAATTTTACAATTATACTTGCTTAAAATTTAACTTGGAGATAATAAATTTAAAGTTAATTACAATTACATGATAATATATTAACCCAATACCCATTATAATTCAATAGAAAAAATTAAGTGCAATTTAGTGACATTAGTTAATAAATACAAATTAATTAAAAACATTTATTTCCAATTATTTGTATAATTTATTAATTTTAAGTAAAATATTTTCAAAGTAAAACTAACCCTAATTGTTAACAAAATCAGTGTCTTTTCAAGTTTTTAAGTTCATAATATATATTAATATTAAATACTTATAATTACCTAATTTTAAAATACAAACACAATCATTAAACATGAATTCAATTGATAATACGTTTTAGGTTTAAAGAGATATAATGAATTGATTTTAAGAATTAATTATTCAATATTCGTTTATTGCATTTTGCGAGTTTCGTGATACTTTTAGTGTTTTACTTAATATTAATATTTTAATAATAATATTATGTACTCCTACTGTCATTTATCACAATATAACAATTCAAATCTAATCTTATCAAATGTTTACTTAGCTCACGGACAATATCGATAATATATAATGTGAATACCAACCACCGACTATGAAGAGTATAAACAGTATAAATTATTCAAAAGTCCACATTAACTCACTGATAACAGATAATAAATATTAGATAAATTCATGATAAATTTATCATTATTCATTACCATTATTATCAATGGGCACGTGGTTTTAAAACAAGTAATAATAAATATTAAAAACAATGTTTATTTTTTAATAATTTACTGTATATTTAACATAGCTTTATATCGAATATATCCAAAAGAATTTCTGAGTTTCTGTGGTTTCTTAATTATTTCTTTATTCGAGTGAGTGAGTTTATTCTTTTAATATTGTAACTTATTGATAATTGTTAACTACTTATTATAATGTTCTTTTTCATTTGAACTTGATTAGAAAATGGAAGAAGAAACGTTAATTGGATTCAATGATATAGCTACATTAAAACCAGAAGCCAAACAAAAAACTGGCAAAAGATCTGGAGGTTTTCAAGCTATGGGATTGAGTTTTCCTGTACTAAAGGGAGTACTCAAAAGAGGTTACAAAGTACCCACCCCTATACAGAGAAAAGTATGGCCAAATTTAAAACTATGTTATTTTTGAAATTGTTTGATAGTAATTCTTGACATTATTGTTTTATTTTAGACAATCCCTATTGCTTTGGAAAACCGTGATGTTGTAGCCATGGCTCGGACTGGTAGTGGAAAAACAGCTTGTTTTTTGATACCAATGTTTGAAAAATTGACTCAGCACACTGTTAACGGACATAGAGGCATACGTGCTTTAATTTTATCACCAACTCGAGAACTTGCCGTTCAGGTAATATTTTATAAAAATATGATTGTAATTTCTGGAGAATACAATAACTTAAAATCCTTAATAATATCCATTTTGTGTAGATAATATAAAAAAGATTATTATGCTACTAAAAACTAACCAATCAAATTGCATTTATAGTTTTATGTGAATATTATATGTTATATTGAACCTTATATAACTTATAAGTTATAAAAAATGAATTAAATGCGTTTGGGGTTAATTTGATAGTAGATACTTGATATTTCTCTGAATTTTTTAAAAGAAGTATTCCATAATATTTTTTGGTGATTTCATTATTCTATTAACATTTGAACTTATAATATTCTTGTACAATTAATTAGTAACTGTGTTATTAAATATTAACATTACCCTCAGTAGCCAATAACTAAATTTTAAAAATTAATATCATAGTAAATGTGGCTAAGTACCTAATAATATTATGTCTTAATAAATTACAACTTTTAACTTAGTAGTATATTGTGATTGATAGATATAAAGAAACAGAACTTTATAATAATAATTAACAAAAAACCAAATTTATGAATATAACATGATTTCAGACATTGAAGTTTTTAAAAGAAATAGGAAAATTTACTAACTTGAAATCAGCCGTGATATTAGGAGGTGATCCAATGGAAGCCCAATTTAGTATAATGCACAGTGCTCCAGATATTATTGTAGCTACTCCTGGTCGATTTTTGCATTTATGTGTAGAAATGTCTTTGAAGTTGCCAAACATTCAATATGTTGTTTTTGATGAAGCAGATAGGTAAGTTACTTAATTTAGTTTCCTATTTATTGATTTACTATATTATAATTAATATATTTTTTTGTAGGCTTTTCGAAATGGGTTTTGGTGAACAATTAACAGAAATTATTGCTCGTCTACCAGAAACTCGACAAACTTTACTTTTTTCAGCTACTTTACCAAAAGTTTTAGTTCAATTTGCTCGAGCAGGACTCTCTGACCCTGTTCTTATAAGGTTAAAATCATTTAGTTCTTAGTATAATATTGATGAAAATTTAATTTTTATTCAAACATATTTTAATCTTTTTAATATAGTTAACATTATCCTAAATTTTAGTTTTAAATGTTTTAAACTTTAGATTGGATGTAGAGTCAAAAATACCTGATACATTGGGATTAGGATTTCTAAACGTGCGGCCTGAAGAACGAGATGGTGCTCTTTTATGTCTTCTGAAATATGTGGTTAAACCAGATTCTATGACTATAATTTTTGCTCCAACCAAACATCATGTTGATTATATTCATTTAGTAAGTTCTTCTGAAAAATAGTTTCAATATATTTTTTTATCTTATATTTTTATTGGATATTACAAATCTTGAGGTATATTCTTGTATAAAATTGTTACATAAATAAGATTTAATTTCTATGTATATTTTAGCTTCTAGATTTTCAAGATATACCAAATACATTCATTTACTCTGATTTGGATCCAACGGCCAGGAAAATAAATGCTAGTAAATTTCAGACAGGCAGTGTAAAAACTCTCATAACAACTGATATAGCTGCACGTGGTATAGATATTCCACAGTTGGATGTAGTTATTAACTACACTTTTCCAGCAAAGTCTAAATTATTTGTGCACAGAGTTGGTAAGTAAATAGTAGATATATAATGTAGTTTTATAATCATATTATAACCATTGCCTATTATAATTTTTTAGGACGGTGTGCTCGAGCTGGAAAAGTTGGTCAAGCATATAGTTTAGTGACACGTGATGAAATGTGTTATTTATTAGATTTACATTTGTTCTTGGGCCGGCCATTTAGTCCTGTGCTCGAAACACCAAAGTCTGATGATGATACTGATGGCCTTTTTGGCATAGTGCCCCAGTTGTTGTTGGAAGAAGAATTAGGACAATTGACAAATTGGTATACATCATCCATTGATGTGGTAAGTTAAATGTTGTACTTATTCAATCAAAGAACATAATATTACTTCTTTTATTATATATATTATAATATACTTTATGTATTATTCTAGATTAACTCTTTGAAAACGTGTACAAATGGTTATAAAAACTATATCAAGTCTAGGCCAGGTGCTTCAGTTGATAGTGTCCGTAGAGCTAAGAAAATTGATTTAACAGTTATTGCAGAGCATCCAATGTTTCAAAAAATAATTGAATCAGATATGGGACGTATTGACTTTGTTAGCCGTATTAAAAACTTTAGACCAGAAACTGTAAGTTATTATTTGCAAATGCGTGGTACACAATAATAGGGACTAAATTAAATAACTTAAAATTCACTACTTTTCTAAGGACTAGTTCAAAAATAAATAATATTTTATGATATGTAATAATTTAACTTGTATCATTTTTTCCATACAAAGTAAATTATTACTGTGACTTATTTAATTTTTCATTATTTGTTAAAGATAAGTTACTAATAGTTTTTTTTTTTTTTATTTCTACAAGACAGCATAATGATTAAAGAATAGACAAAATATACAATTTGAGCATTTTCTACAATGCCCGGGCATCTTATACAATAACCAGGCATTATATAGAATTACCTTCGTATATTGGGCAATATAGATAATATAATATTTAATAGTAAAATTTTATCAAAATGTAATGAATAATATATATTTATACTATAATATTTATATTATTAGAAAACATAATATTTTTTTTTATTTTTTTATCACTTATTTTCCCATGTACTGCTTCCATGGCATTTTGGCAAAAAATAAATTATTTGAACCTTTTTTTTAACAAATCTTTTAAATCAGCATTAAACTTTTCCATATTTTCGTTATAAGTTAGAATATTATTGAACTACACTATGCAAATGATTCGTGGTTACTAAAATATTAATTTTACGAGAATTAACCCTATAGGCGCATCTGACCTCTAAAATTTAGGTTGCAAAAACTATTAATGACTCACAAAGCCATGGTACTTCTCTAAAATAATAAGTCAGGTATAAAAAAAATAAGAGGTGCTAAATTTGTACTAGGGGGTACTAAAAACCCTTTTGCACCCAACTAGTTGCCACTGATTAACTGGTATAGGTCTTATCGATAAACATTATAATCATAATATATGTTACATGTAGTGTGTAGACTTTCCCATTGTAAGAAAACCGATAAGAACAAACGAAAAAACACATTAGCTAATTCAAATCTACAAATAATAACCAGTGCTTAATCTTACTCTGATATTTTGACAATATTTTAAAATTAAATATTATATTATTTATATTACCCAATATACGAAGACCATTTAATATAATGCTCAGTTATTGTATAAGATGTCTGAGCATTGTAGAAAATGCCTAAATTATATATTTTGCTTGTAATATATATTTATTTAATACAATATTTTTGTAAACCTATTTTAATCAAGGTACCAACTAGCCTACTAATTTAAGCCATATTTTAATACCAACTATGTATTGTAATCATATTAATATTATATCATTTTATAGACCGTTTTTGAAATGGGTCAGTCTACAAACTCAATTCCATTACTTCAAATGAAATTATTAAGAGAACGAAATATGCCAAGCGTTATTAACTATCATCGAAAAAAACGTGAACAGCTTAATGATCCTGAAGGAGTGCGGTTGAAAAAAGTTGATTTGCCATCGAGTAATCAAACTGAAATTCAAGAAACATTTAATGATATTATCACACAAAGACCTCGTGTAACTGGTCAAAAAAAGAAAAAAAATCTGAAAAAAACAAAAAAACCAGTTAAGTCTGAACATTTTATACCATACCAACCAGCTGATTGCTATACAGAAGAAGGGTAAGTGAATGAAAAATATATACTTTATAATCATTTTAAATGTAACACATTGTATTATTCAGACTAGCTGTTGATAATTTGAAATCAAGTGAAGGAATATTGGATTTAATGGGTGATTCAGAACAGTCATTAGCTAAACAAAATTCAAATAAACGTAAATGGGATCCAGTGAGTCACAAATATGTGAGTAAACAGAGTCTTGAAAAAAATCAAGTTAAAAAAATCAAATCCGAATCTGGGCATTGGATACCAATCACATACAAAAGTGATAGGTATGAAAAATGGCAGGAGAAATCAAAATTGAAGAATTCTGTGGCAGAAGGAAATGACGAAGAAGAACAAAAGAAAATAGCACCTTGTAAGTACAATAAATGAAATATTATTGAAAGCCATTTTCTTTAAACTAATAATAGTAATTATTCCTAAATTATTATATTATAATCTACCAACAATATATCTTATTAAGATTATCAGGTGATAATCGTTCATAATATTATCAAAAAGAATATCTGGGATTTATGAAATTTTTTAAATTAATAGTTATCATGTCATTTAAGAACTAATGTATTAATTTTGTAAACTTTGCATTTTGTCTTTTAGTGTTCCGGTTCAAATTAGACACTCGTTGGGGTCGTCACAACGCCAAATTACGGGAAAAGCAATCTGAACACCGTTTGAAATTGGACACTAAACATATTTTGAAACAGAGAATAATTAAAGAACACCGTAGAAAGAAAAATGGCAGGAAACCCGTCAAAAAAGATAAGATCCGGAAGAAGAGTGCGAAGTTTAATAAATTTTAATTTTATAAAGTCATTGTTGTGGTATATTACGTATCATAAAAAAAATTAATATTAACTATTTTAAATTATAGTGAACGAATTATCATTTTACTTTTATAACTTACTGTTATTACAACACTGTATATGAATAACTATTTTACACACAATTTGAGATTAATTGTCAGTACCTAAATAACTGGAGTGTATAAAAATATTTGTAGATCAGCGTTGGAGTGCTTGATATAATATGTTTATATTATATTAAAATGATTGTATTACACACAAAAATTTTGTTTTTTATACAAAGTTTGATTATAACCCCATCGCTATCAAAGACTACCTTATTGTCCGCTATTTTCTAGCGGTATAAATATACAAAACATTGAAACTATTAAAGGTAGGTACTTTTAGACTTTTCTCCTATCCATGATAAACTTAAAGACCTCTGCTTGGTCGACACGTAATTCGTACCTCTTTTCGATTCCCCGTTTGCATAACCGTGTTTGAAAAACGAACCTTTTACAAATCACACACGTGATGAGGTTTGCCAATGGATAATTCGATCAGTCAGTTTTTCATAACTAAAATTGTATTTATAATATTTTTTTTTACTATTATAAGGTAAAATTTTAATATTATTAATACCTAGCGCAAACTCATTATTTTATAAATAAATAAATACAATTTCGTACTATATTTTCTATATAAATCTTTGTCAACGAATTAAAACAAATATCGATTTTCACTCTTTGAGAATTGTCCTTGGCTAATGCTGTTGTGTGATACCAATTACCATGATCAATTTCAAAAGTGGTTATGGTAAAGTAGGTACCTCTACCTATAACCATTTAAACTGTAGTCAACTCGTTTCAGGTGACAATGTATATAGGTACCTATACTAATTAGTAATAACAATTAATAATTTACTACAAAAGTGGGTACTAAGTAAAACTTCTCGAATTCTTCATAACAACTATTAATACCTAATGATATCATTCACCACGGATCCGGCTCGCCCGTTTATAACGCCTGCAATATATCCATTTAATAGTTGAAGCGATTATTTCAGAATCCCGTTAAACGCCAAAATGATGAAAAACGTATTAGGTTCAGATTATTGTTTTATGAAATAAAACACTTCGTTTAGTGTAAAAACCCGTCAAGTGTCGAAACTCTATGGCAGTTTAATTTTTGGTCAAATAATGTTTATACTTCAGAAACCTATTAATAAGTGGCATTTGACGGCTTTCTGCGGCAAACTGGGAATTTTAAAATTTGCACTTAACGGGTTTCTGAAATAATCGATTCAATTAGTAATGTGTAAACAGCTTATAAGTCATAAGTTATTTTTTATTAAGTATATACAGTAAATATGGACTCTGTAAGTACTCGTATAGCCGTGCCACCTTATTTATTTCAAACCTAGTTTAATGTCTTAGAAAATATATTATAATTCATAAAAATAGGAAATAATTATTTCCAAATATCAGTGTAGTTACTCATTTATCATTATTTTCATGTCCTTTCTAGTTAGGTATAAATTATATATTGTGTGTGTGTGTATGTGTGTATGTGTATGTAAAAAATTTAATATATTATATTATACCTAATATATATTACAACCGATTGAGATAAGATTATTTTTTTTCCATTAAAAATAAATTAATTTTTTTTTTTTTTAATGCATTAAATAAAATCCGGATCTCTTATAATAAATATTTTAGGTACTAAACACGATATAAGTACCCTTGCATATACGTAATATACGTTTAACGTATAAGATTGTTTAATTGTATATACACAAATAAATATAATATAATATTTTTTTAATGTCGGTTATAAATTTAAAAATATCAAACAAACTTCTATTATAGAAGTTAATAATTTATATAAAACATTAAAAATTAAATTAAATACGACTCGTTTAAATTCACAAGTTTTTTTTTCAATAAATTATATTAAGGACAACAACGGGATTGACAATAATACTATGTCCCGTCCGCGCCAATAATATTATCGATTGTCGTTCATATAAATAAATTCCTATATATTATACTTAAATACCTAATAATCTATAAACTTCATCCTCAAATGTTTATTGTTAATCTTTTGTCCTGTACAAACAAACAGTGTTTAAATAGTACAATTATTCATTTAATATATTTTTTTTTTTTTACATTGAGGCAGAAGTATATAAGTTAAATTCATTTCATTTGTGATTTTTTTTTTTTTTGAAATTGGTCTTAAGATATTTTTTAATAGCGGAATTATAATTATTATTCTTCCTCTTCTTCCTCTTCTTCCTCTTCCTCTTCTTCTTCCTCCTCCTCTTCTTCTTCTTCCTCTTCTTCTTCCTCCTCTTCTTCCTCTTCGACCTATAAAAATAATTGTAATTGATTAACAAATAACATTTATAAAACACTCATAAACTAATATCATAGTAAATATCATAGGTATTTACTTCTTCTTCTGCTTCTTCGTCGTCAAGGCCAAACGGTTCTTCGTCTTCCTCGTTTTTCTTGAGCTCTTCCTCTTCGGGTGTGTCTGGGTCATCCTTCTTCTTGCCTGGACGTTCGCCGAACCATTTCGGTAACCGTCCTGCGAAAACAGAACGTAAGAAGTTTATCAATACGAACATATATATTTATACGTTCAGAGCAGAAGAACATGAATATTGTTTTGGGTTTCGTAAAATGATTATAGGTAGGCATGTAGGTAGGTTGGATGGTGAATTCATTCATAATATTAGGGTAATTGTGTAATATGTAGAATGGCAAAAAAAGCACTAAAAGGTGAGTAATTCTAGTAAATTCTCGACTGCTCAAAAAATAAGTGAGACAAGAACAATTTAATTGAGTTATAATTTTTTGTGGATTGCTGATATACTATTATTAATCACTATTTACATATACTTAAACTAAGAATAGTGTTAAGACGTCGAAAATTTACAGTAATAATTTTTTTATGATTTTACCTTGTCGTTGAAAGTAGTGAAACAGTAAATGTACTTATATATATATATTTATAAACATTGTAAGTAGATAAACGATCAATTATTGTATAACAATCAAAGTATTTAGAATTATTAATAAATCAAGGATTGTCTAAAAAAATGTTTTCTACATAAATCTAAATAATATTTTAATTTTAGTTGAGCTGATTTAGCAAGCTAAATATATAATTGAACATATAGGATATGTGCGTATAATATAAATAACAATATGCGTAGGTACCTATCTAAAAACTGTAGATAAAACGATTTTGAAAATCACCAAACAGTTTAAAGTTTAAACAAACTGTAAAATCTTTTTAGTTTATACTTTATACGATATAATATTGTGATTAATATACGTAAATACATACACTCACAAGCAACTGAGATGGAATTTAACAACGTGAAAAATCAAAATAATCGTAATCAAAATTATTACTACAGTGATTCATAAGTACCTATTTATTACTTTCTAAACAAAATATAAAATAATTTTGAAATCAATAAATACGAAGACGAACCTCTACATAGTTAAAAGTTTAAACAGACTCTATTCAAGCTGGTCTATTACTTACCTTTAGCGCGGCCACCAAATTGGTCACTTTTTTCTGTCCATTGTTTTTCCATCGATTCTTTACTGGTTTCCATTAAACCCTAAAAAATGCAAAAAAAAAAATAGGAAAAGGTAACGTGCATGCGGGTACGAAAAAACACAGGTTTGGCCGAAACTAAATGTTATAAACACGGATATCTATAATCGGGCGTAATAACCAATAGGCTGGGTAGGGAAACTAGAGGGGATATTCAGATTTTACATTACTCTTGATGGACGGTTATTATATGAACCGGTTCTTTCCTGGACGCGAAGGAAAAGCATGCCGAAATTCGTTAAATATTTACGTACTTCTACTTCTTTTCATGAATTGTTCGTATTTACGATTCCAGTTAGACTCGGACTTTTCGCCTATCAACTCTTCCAGACCCTATTTATTTCGTTAACATCTCTGTATAGATTATACGTTTATATAATATATGTGCACACTTACTCCTTCGAACAGCTTCTTTTTGTCATCATAAGACCTCGTGTCCACTCGCCTCTCGTACTTGGAAGCGACTTGGATCTTGGGCTAAGTAAACGTATACAAACATGTTAAGTTAACGACAACCGAATAATACGATCATATAAATTGTATAATATACACGATCATTTTGTAATATGATGTACACTTACTGGGTATTTGCCGGTTAGGGCTTCGGGGTCGAGACCCTTCTTCAGAGCCTTGTGGCGGAGTTGTTGCTTCTGACGTTCTTTCAACTCTTTCAACTGAAATACAAGCAATTATTATTGTATTAGATACCAAAATATAACTACTAATATCTGGAAGCTTAAAAGTTAAAATATAGTTATGAAATATATTATAGGTATAACCATACAAGTAAAAGGTACTTACGTCGTAATCTTGTCTCTTTTGCCTTTCCTCCAAATCGTACTTTTCTGTTTCCAGCTTAATGATCTGGTCCCAAAGTTCAGTAGCTTTGAATTGGAGTTTTTGTACGGAGAATCCTTCGATGGTCAACGGTTTAATTCTGAAGCTCAACGATATTTTCTTTTCTTCTTCGATCTGTTCTCTGGTTTTGTTGCGTTCAAGTTGGGCAGATGTCATACTCAATGCCTATGATATAATATGAAATACAAAAAAAAAAAAAATAATAAATATTTAAATAACATAATTGTAAGAAACAGTAGTGGACCCAGAGGGACTAGGGGCCTCGGCTCCCTCTTCCAAACCTCTTTAACAGTCTTTTTACTTACACAAATATTTTAAATTGTGTAAAAACGCATTATAATAATAATAATAATAATTATAATTATGAATAATTTTACTTCTAAAAAAAAAATACCAGTACACATTAGATTTTGTATTAAGTATAGAAGTTATTTTAAAATAAAATAATTAACATTTATAATAGTATAATTATTATAGGTACCTATAATTAACATAAAAAAATTTTAATCCAACCATAATAAATTAATAACATTCCCTTAATCATTTTTTTCGTATTTTCAGAAACACGTGTACTAGAACACCATGTATATATATGGCTCAGAAATAATTTTTTTAGGAGACCCTTTCCCCAAAACCCAACCCTGGATCCGCTCCTGATAAGGAAAAAAATCAAGTTCATCGACAATAATTGAATTGAATTAAACACTTACGCCTTCTTTTTTGCTGATGGTGAAGTTAGGTCCTTTGGATTTATTGGTTTGTTCCTTAAGAGCAGCCATCATAGCTTGCCGTTTTTTCTCGGCCTCTTCCAGGCGTTTACGTTTTTCTTCGATGTCTTTCTGTTTCTTTTCCTCGACTTCTCTCTGTCTGCGTTCTTCTTCTTGCTTCTTTCTTTCGGCCATTCTCTTCTCTTCTTCCGCTCGCATAACCTTGCGCTTGGCTTGTTTTTCCTTCAACTTCTTTAAATCGTCTTCTTCCTTTGACCGCTGTTTGCGCCATTCTTGAATGTACTCTTTGAGTTGTTCGTCTAAGGCTGAAGATTTTAATTCTTGCCTCTGGTTAAAATCAAAAATTATTGGTAAATTATAAAAATAATTCAACATAGCTAAGCAAAATGTACATATATTTATGTTAAAACATAAAATATACCAATTACCTTAACGAATTCAGGATCTCCATCTGCACTAAAGTTTGCAAAAAGAAAAAGTAAAAAAAAAAAAAAAATATATATATTAATTTCGATATCAATACATTGTATTTTTTATGGGTTGATGACACCGTAATGTTATTTTCCCCTGCGGGGGGCTTGTTATTTATAATATGTGATTAATAAATGGGTCATTTGAAATTTGGCACCGGTTAACTGTAACAGGATATATTGTCAGAATAAAAATAATTTTTAGTAACGATGCCATGTGGCCTATAGCCAGGCAAAATGAATAAATAGTAAAGACATGCAAAATTTATTGTTAAAAAAATTTGCACACAAAATCAGTTTTATGTATGTTTATACTTCAAAAAACATATTAAATTAGTCAAGAAAAACTTTGGTTTTTAATCGTTCTATATCTAAATATACAAAACATCTTAATATTACTATAGCTAATACTTTATAATAAACATCTAAAATTTCTAATTTTCAATGAACTAATAAAATAAATACCATTTTGTCTACATTCTAATTTTTCTACTAAAAAAATAAAAAAAATACTGCATAAACTAAAGGCTTATTGTATGGATTGTCTGCACTAAGCCTTTTCTACTTTCTACTTTAGAATCAACTCAGTACACATTTTTACTTTAACTCCCACTGTGGTAAACTTACTCTTTGCTTTTTTCAGGCTCCGGTTGCCTGCGTCAAAAATTGACGATTTAGACAAATTCCAAGAATATCACAAACATATAGAGTGTACAGACGTAAACTTATATTTATAAATTTTACTTTCTCTCGGTAATTTGTAGGGCTTCAATATTAATTATGAAATCGTATACGATTACATTTAAACTATATATAACTAATAAATACTTATAGATAATAATATAGTCTAAGTACAACATACAAAATATTCAAAATTTTGTAAAGTTAATATATTATTATCTATATATATATATGTATATGTATATAGGAATATTTATAATGAAATGTAAAAATAATTCCGACCACATTACGTTGTACACTCTATTAATAAGGAATAAGCCAAATAAACAATTCGGGTGCTCATATACACAAAATCATTTGGCTTATAACGTATTTACAATTTTGAAAAGCGTGCAAAAATAAGCAAGTTGAAGCTAATGAAATAAAATCAAGTGACTGAAAATCGAAATTAAAATCATAAGTGAATTCCTTGGCAAACATTTATTAATAAATCGTTTATATACCACTATAAATTTTAAGTTCTTGTCACAGAGTTCATTTCTAGCTCAACATTTTTATATGTACAATGCATTTGAAATTATTCTTTCAAACTTTTCTCTCTCTACAGACATTTTGTTTTTTTTGTATTCCCCTACATTTACACGTTTATTCACTTATCCTTTTCAAATGCTTTTGCAGTAGCAATTTAAAAGCGTAAAAATTATTTAATACTTTAAAACTTACGTTTCCTCTTCGGAATCACTGAAAAATAATATTAAGTTCAATGTAAAATTTATAAAGTGTTTATATAGGTATACCTAATCATATTGATCAACGCCCAAATATTTAAATTTCTACCTGATTAAACTTGATTAACCAAAAATATTCAAAAATTAAATTGTTAGAAAAAATTGCGAAAATGTCCATATTTATAGTTTGTATGATTGTTTACAAAAAAGTGTTCACAAGTAAAATTTTATCAAATTGTCGAATAAAAATAGTTATTCAGACATTATCGTGATTTTTTAAGTTATTGTTCACATGCGACTTGGTACAAAAATATGGGTAAAGGTAATAATATTATAAGTAAGAGAAAACAAATTCATCTCGGATAATAGAAAATACATAGATTTAAAAAATATAAAAAAGTATACACTATAACGATGAATGCAATCAGAGTATTATTGAAATATCGATGTATAATCTATTATCTAATTCTATTGGCAGCTTATACTACACAATATTTATAAGAATTTTATTATTTTGTTAGAAATTAACATCATGCAGGAAAAGTCAACCTTTTTTTATAAAAAATAAAATTGTAAAACTGTAATGTAAATACTAAGAAGGTTGTGATTGCTGGACAATTTAAAACAAAAATAAAAATAATAATTTAGCCTGGTAAATAAAATAACAAGGTCAACGAAGAATATGACAATATTACAATAGATATCATTATAATTTGCAATAAAGCATTTGGAATGAAACTTAATCTAAACTCCAAAATAAACAGTTTTATCATATCTGTCTACTCATTTTACGTAGGTAATGTAGATTTCACAATACGTATTCATCCACTATTCTGATGGGAAAATTATTCCAAACACATTAGAGTAATAAAGTGGATTACAAAATATATGCGATATAATGTATTGAACGAATTGAAATATAACTCAGATAAACAGTAATATTCGTAAATATAATTTACCAATGTATTTTCTTATTTCAAAAAAAAAAAATTCAACTATCTAACCCATTCTGTTGTATACCTAATACAATATCATATTCAGCTGCAGTAGAAAAATTATTTAATTTTATAAAATGACTTACGTGTACACTTCTTCTTCGTCAGACATGGTTAAGCGTGTGTCTAAGGCCTAGTCTCTGTAAACAAATAAAATCTAAATGAAAACCCGTTCGAAACGTGCAAATCGCGAGTAAACGAAATGGGTAGGTAGATATATCTTGTCCACCCTGTCCCTAGCGGTTTTATTTGAAAATGGATTTCTCGCGGAGAAACGACCGGTAGACGTTTATTCTGAAAATATGTGGGAGGGATCGGCGGCGATGGATCCCGTTGATATTAATAGCTGCTGCCGGTTCGGGCTGCCAACATTGCCTTTTTACGACCCACAAAATCCTAATGCGTCTATTTATATAAAACGTGCATAGTATACCAGTGCGTATATAGTATTATGCGGACAGACAAATCGTTCAGGATTTCAATAGTAATATAATATAGTAAATCATATGTTATGGTCCATTATTGTGTGCAGTTGAATTCACGAATCGCGAATCGGTTTTCTAAATCGTCGCTGGGAAATCTATTAAACTCAATACCGAAACATAAATTACATGAAAACCATATCAAATACACCAGCACCAATTACCCGAATCCCAATAGGGATCAACAACAACGAATATTTTTGTTTTTTTATTTTTGTAACAAAAAACTATACAATTAATTAAATTTCACTATATTATGTGTATAGTGTGTACCTACTAAAGCAGACACATGGAATTTCATACGTGCACTGCAAAAAAATTTTTAACACAAAACGCATCTGACGATCTTGACGTCTGCAGGTTATTTCTACACCGAGCGTATGGGGTGACTGGTGAGGCCCTCTGTATAAATACTACACGAGAAAAATTCAAAGCTGCTGCTATCAGCTAATGTAACAGTCGTAACAAGGATATTATGTTATTTAACATAAGCGAAAGATGCCGTTTTTCAACGCGTTAACGAAAACAAAAACTCCTCTATCCTGGAGTAGCCAATATGAAACGTTATCATTCTAAGACGGAACGACGTTGATCCGGATGAACGCATACTAAGTTATCGATTTCATCGGAAAATTTTACGTTGATCTCCAACGTCGTCTATCATCTATCCTCATTCCTCATTCCTCAATTGAATCGCGACTACATCAACGTGAGATTTATGGCAGGTACCCTCGCACCGTCACGAAATCTCCCGTTGCTTATGAAAATATACATGGTAAAATAGCAAGTAGTTTTTGTTATTAGGCGTCAGACGGACACGTTTACTACGATACAGTAATGAAATTTAGAGTACAGTATGTTATAGAATTGTGTTATAATTTATATTATGTATGATTGGTGTACTTACAAAAATATAATATATATATAACGCGACGGAGGTCCCACTAACGTCTGCGGACGACTGTTCGCCGTTCGGATTCGAGATCGGCAATTAAGCTCGTCCCCACCAAACCGGGGCTCGTGGACAGGAAATCTATCCGGGATATTTTTGGCATTTTCCAGTTGTATCGTATATAAATACGTACAAACTACATATACAGATCATGTTTTGCATATGGAAAACGTGGTAGAAAAAAACTATAATAATAATGGTAATAACGAGAAGACGACGAAAAAGACCATTTGATCCTAACTGTCGGGTTGGTAGTGGGGAGGCTTTCAAAAGTGTGTCAAAAATATTAACACACTGGCCGTAAGAATTTATTATTACGTTAAGAGTATATCTGTGGTTTATTTTAGAATTCCCAGCGTACAAGAACGTATAATTATCTGAATGCCACGAATCTTTGCCGACGACAACAACAGATGATTAACACCTTAAATGACATTTTATGTCATTCGTCTTTATGTATTATTCAGCCATACAGGTGTATTGTATACCTATGTATATCGGGCTCTTTATATTGGATAGATACAGACATCATACATTTACAATTCATATGTATTTTGAATCATTATACATACATATATAATATATATTATATATAGAACAATCATAGATGAAAATCTAATTATATTCAAGTACAGTTCATGTACACATTTTAACAATACATATAAGGATTGGTATAAGGGTTTTATATTAAAATTTAAACAGTACTCATTAATTATAATAACTAAATAGTTTACAATTGCTCAATAACTAGTATTCTTTTGTATTTTATATGTTCACGTGTTTAACAGAATAGAGAAAAATAAAAATATGAATTTATGTAATTTTCTTTAGTGCAAAAGTGTAATAGCTCAACAATAGATATAAATACATTTTTAGTTAAATAATTAACATAAGTACAATAGATTTGTATTTTATAGTCACATCAATGAAACATTTAAAAATATTTCTTTATTGATAAATTCTTATTTTTAAAATGCCCTCCTTCTTTAAAATAGACATGTAAATTCTTGAAATTATATAATTTATTGGAAAATATAATATAAGTAGTATTTTATCCAACAATAAATAACACCTATACTATTATGGAATGAAGTAAGCATCAATGGGAGAAATGGATATCTTTGATCAAATTTTAAGATCATCCATCCAACCTCAGTCAACAATAACAATGGTCCTAGACTTATTAAATACAATTTCTCTAAACGATTCAATGATTTAAATTTACCAGTATTATACAAAAATGAAACATTGACTAAAAGTAATAGTGATTTAGTAATGAATTCAAATGGTTTAAACAATAATGGAAAAACAGAATATGTAGAGATGGTTGATAGCATTGTAAACATGGAACAATCATTTGTAGAGGTAAATACTAGAATTCTGTAAATAATATAATAAACATGTACAAAATTAAGTATTAGATAAAAAAAGAAACATTGAATAACTTACGTTAACGGTATGACAGCTAACAATAATGCTTTCTCGTGAACATGCCAACCAAACATAAATGAAGTCAAACCACACAATACAAGGCATCGAACAAAATCAATTGGATTTCTATTGAATTTCCAAAGTTTATATAAACATGGCTGAAAATGACAAATTAACATTTCAATAAAAAAAAATGGTCATGACAATTAAACTTAATAACTTTTTGCATTACATATTATACAAGAATTAAAAATACCTATCTTTGAATAGTTTTGGGATAATTAATATATTTTACATGTAAAAACAAATGGGGATATATTTATATACAAATATTTATTTTTGATCAGGCGAGTTAGAAATATATAAATTTAATACATGTGCAAGAAGCAAATATAACAAATAGTACCTATGTTCATTATCTAGTACAGATATATCAAACTAAACGTGATCTGAGCTAAAAAATCTAAACAGGTCATAAAAATATAATATATATATAACAATTTTCTACACAGAGCTATAATATATACAATATTATTAGTTAATTACACATTTATCTTATTTATTAGATACAAATTAATTATTTTAATCTTATATTTAAAATTTAAATTAATATGTTAGTCTAGAGGTACATTTGATTTTAAATACTTAATTAGGTGTTTATTTTAATTCTTAATCAAATGGAATCACAAAAAAATTAAATCAAGAGGTAACAACTTAACCTAATCCACAACCATGAATTTGATATGCTTAGTTTAATTTTTTATAAAATAAAAAAGTAAAAATAGAATATAGGATCTAACATCTAAACCATGCATCGTAGATTATTATTTAAGTATATTGTTAACTCCATTTAACCATTTAATTGTTAAAACTTTCCTTTCAAATAATATAAATCTAATTAAGTTTAACTATTTTCTATTTAAAATAAGATCAGAATTAGACAGCGATCAGTTTTTGTTAGATAGGGGTCAACAACTATTTGTCATCCTTACTGACTCAATTATCTGTACCACTATACTACTACAGCGTATAGTGAGCCATGCACATATATACAACTCGACCACCCAGTAATGATATCATTTTGAATAGAGTATATTTCAACTATTTTATTAACAAAAAAATGTCAAAATTTTAAATTTATAACAAATGAAAAATAACCCAAAACTTACCAACATAAAAATTATTGTTAAAATAAAAGTAATCTGAGGAGTTATTGATGGAAAAACAGTGTGTTCGAATTCTTGAACTAAGCCTCTTGTCATTGATGCTGAATTATTATTTTTTATTAAATCATAGTCTTTATCTAAAAAAGTCCTTAATTAATATAGGTAAATTAATATAGAAAGAATAAAAATGTATAAATACATGTAATTTTAGCACCAATATCAGCTGTATTATACAAGGCCCAAAAGTTTGGAGCCCAATAGGCATGTGATAAACCTCGTTTGAATGGAAATAGCTGATTAAAGACCTAATAAATAAATTAAATCAATAGAAATAAGATTTATATATAGTTAATATTCTAATAGCACCTGTAAAATTTGACCATTGAATATAAAAGGTCCAAATGAGATACTAAAAACACCAAGAACAATTACACCTAATTTTATAAGTCTTTTCAATGCAAATTGTATTTTTTTTTTAAGACAAAAGTGTTTTAATAAGTAAACAAAGTATGCTGGTGCCAAGTATAAATAAATATGTTTGAAATTCAACAGGACTGTAAACCAAAATGCACCTAGATAGTTTTCACCCTAGAAAAAAATCACTACATTAGCAAAAATATCACAATTTATTGGAAATATATTAAAATTATTATTTAAAAGTAACATATTTTACCTTTATTATGTGCGATATTGATATAAGTAAAATACCAAAAAGAAAGCCATTGTACTGAAAGTGTATTTGATCAATGAGCAATAGTGTTACATTAGCTATTAACAAGAGTTCAATGATAAAAACAGAAATGTTACTTTCATCAATCTCTTTTTTCTTTTTAGTCTTTGTTGATTTCATAATTAATGCAATTGACTGAGCGCATCTAAAAATAACATAAATTTCATACTGAATAATATGTAGTTTATCAAATGTTTTGAAAATATTTATCCATCACATTATTCTATATAATATTACTAGTTAGAAACTATTAAAGCTTTTTAAAGCTTTTTGAGAAAATTTATTATTTAAATTTCCAAATTCAACTAATGAAAAATAACTGATAGTTTTTTAGTAGTATACTTAATAAAGCTATGAGTAATTGTTCGTTTAATACAAAAAGTAATGAGTTGTATGAGAATTCCAGTTAGGTATACGTAAAAATGTATATTGTAAAAAAAATATATATTAATATTTTACTTTTACGATAGGTAAATATTCATAAAATAATAATTAATCAAAAAATTTAAGACAACAATAAGAAATTTTAAAATAAAACTTTATTGTTTATATTAGGTACTTATAAAATTTTGAATATCATATTCTTTGTAAACACATAGTAACATTTTATAATTTAATTTAAACCAATAATAAAAAAAAAAAATTATTAAACTTGGCAAAGGAGAAATATATTGGAAAAATATTTAAACAGGATTGTTCATTTTAACTAATTATTAATGGTTTTTAAGTTACTTTAGCAATTCTATATATTAGTAAGTCATCTCAGTGGTTTAATTAAATAATACCTTAACATACAAGAATTTAATTGTCATCAACATATAACATTGTTATTTAATTTGAGTGATATTTACTTTCGAGACCCGTAATAAAACACAAAATCAGTAATAATGACGCTGAGCCGCTGAAAGAATATAGTGGCATTTGATGAATAGTTACGATTGTGTATTGACAACATGTCAATATCAACAAAGGCAGCAATTTGTGCTAAGAAGTATTCAAACCACGCAAACAGTGGAGGATAGTCGATTGTCCATTCTGAATGTTTAGCAGAATACCACTGTGATATAGGGAGACTATACGTCGTAGCCAGCCAGTTACGATGCACCTCGAAATCGGTTGAAAAACTGTCAAAACAAAATGAGACAACAATTTAATAAGAATGATTATGGTTAAAAAGAGAAAAAATTTTAGACAGCGAATAAAAATGACGATCCTACGTCGGACCTCCACTCACTAGGACGGCAACAGGAGCAACTTCACGCACGTTATGACGACGTGTAAGGAACTTGTCATTTTTAATTTGAAAGTTATATCAAGACATCACTAAAAATCCATAGTCGACGTGAAAGAAAAATCTTGTAACTTTGGACAGAATGTATTTAATTTTAATAATGACGGTAATGGTCCCGAGTATAGTTTGAAAACATCATCAAAAGCGACGATGTATAACTGTTTCAAAGCCACGATGATAACATTACAATTACCCACAAAGCAAGCACCAGTAGCCAGTAATAATTATGATTTGTTGATTTAACGTATTTAATATTTGTATCGAGTACCTAGCACATACGTACGACCTACGAATGTCGAATAGCCACGAGACATTATTGACTTATTGTCTTATTGAGACGCGTTTCATGTAGTATGTACCCGATCGTCATTCGTCAAGTCCGAACGTTACCGGTATAACGAATAATGATAAAGTATTTGTTATCACTCGTCCGCTTATCAACGCTGCGTCAAAATACTCAAAATTAGAAACTTTTAACTTAGAAAATAGAAATTAGAAGTTTAGAACATGATTGAAGAAATATTTTTTTGGTCGAAAATTGATACGTTTTTTTGATAGGATTTTAAAGCTGAATGCTATACTGCAATAACTATTACTACTGTTCATAAAATAAAATATCTATTTAAAACAAATGAGAAATAATTGTAATAGTATTGCTATGGATTAAAATATATTATTTTATAAATCGTTACCTATGGAATATCCGATATCGTTAATTGCCTCTCTAGTCTCTACAATTGTTCTGTCAGTGGCGAATTTTCAGTTACCGCAATCAGTGTTTATATGAGGAAAAATAATTTTTATTATATCGAGTTTTTAAAAATAGGAATCAACTGAAAAATATATAGCAACTAGTATTAGTATGTAAATTGTGGCAAGTCGAAAAATGTGTTTCCAAATTTGCGACTTAATGTTTTTCAAACGACGAAAGTATAGAAATACGGATTATAAATTCAGATAAATAATTTTTTTTTTTAAATACATAGTCTTATAAAAGAAAATTTGATACTTATTGTACCTTATTTAATGGTATTTTATTTTTAGTTTTATACCATTAAAACAGAAAAATACTTAAATAAATAATTGTAATGAAAAGAAAAATTAATGATTTTTATTTAATTTAATAATAAAAATTTTATGAATTAACTTTAAAGTCAAAATAAAATCCAACATTAGTTTTAAAAACTCAATCAATATGCATAATTTTTCTCTTATAAATTTCAAGACAATAGTGACTGTAATTAAAAGATAGACGTCATCTGATGTGATGAAAACCAGTTTGCTTTAAAATTATATTATTAATCATCAGCAGCAAATATATTTTACAGTCACAAAAAGTAAATTTACCAGGACTATTGACTATTCAATACTGGATTGAAATTTGAAAAATTTTTTAACTTATCTTGTATAATATAATCTTGGCTGGTCTTCACTCAAAATCTTTCACCAAATTATACAAAAATTGATTACTAGTTAAACACACCCAATATAGTATTTACTCAACAACAAAACACAACTGTAATATTTTATTTTTTGTTTTCAAATTTTTATCATTTTTATCACATAAAAAATTGTTGAATATCAAAATAAAATAATAAAAATTTTACAATATAAATAAAGACCTGTTCTTCTATTTTTTGTTAAAATGTAGTAAATCTATTATACTTAATGTCCAGTAAAATACTCTGTACAAAACAATTATTACTGAATGGTTATATTGAAAACTAAGTTTATTTTTTATAATAAAATAAATTATTACTCTCTGGTTACGTATAGCAAAATATATTATAATGTTTTATTAATTGTGGCGATCGTGTAATGTTAATAAAATATTGGCTTATCAATATTTCCATTACTGCTGTAAACTAGTCTAGGAATACGTTTTATTTGCCACCCCCATCAATTGTTAACAAATTCAATTAATATATTATGTAATTTAATGACAGCTATTATAAATAAAATTTTAGACACTGAAAATCTCTATACCATCGCTTATCTATATATTCTGTAACCAATAATTATTATATTCATTGTTTTAGTGCTTGTATACAAAAATTCTTAATTTAATAATGATTAGTATATTTAGTATAGAATAATATAACAATACTAATAAATTTCTTAGTAAATACCAAAAATAGTAATTAGTAATTATAAAATAAATCACGTCTTACATATTTTAAAATTCAGTACAAGTTAATTTATGTACAAAATAAAATGTGTATTATATTTATTTATTAAATTAACTTAATGTAACAATACTTGAGCTTTTAAACTTTAGAATAATATTGAAAATATCAGTCAGGGTTAATATAAAATATTATATTATTACAATACTAATATTAAAATGTGCAATATTAAATAACAATCGTATATTTCTAAATTATTTAATTCAAACTATAGGAATTCAGGCTTACAGAGTTTAGTTCTATTTATTAATAAATGATCTAACAAAGAACATAAAATAAATTCAAAAGAATTTAAAAATAACAAGCTAATGTGTGTGTTTGAATATACTTTTTTTTATAAATATTTAACAGAAATAATTTTAAAATTTAAGGCTCACTAACAGTGGGAGTTATAAAATAATTAAATTATGTTTTATAATAACCATTGGTATAAGTTATACCAATGGTTTAAGTTATTAAATAAGTGATATTAGATATAATAACAATAATTTTTATACACATTGAAAAATTAAACTGTAAAATAATATTGAAATTATAATTTTTTTTTAAATATAATTTATTACAATATTATATTATTATATTGTACATAAAATAAAAAAATATGTTTCAATAATGTTCTAAATTCTAATTTGGTCATAATTTATGTTCCGTAAAAATAAATCAATTATTAAAAAAAGTATTAGTTTAAAGATTAAATAAATAAAAGCTAATATTAATTTTTAGTATACTTGATTTGAGACAGTTAAATCAAATCAGATTGATCCAGAAGATTTTTCAATATATCATCATAAAATTTGGAAAATACTTTTCTATTATATGTGATAAGACGCAAAAAACTGCCAGTAACAGCTGCCAATTCATCTTTGAACGCAGACAAACCAAGTGGGCATTGTTGGGGCACTGCGTTGTCGGAACTGATGACTGCAGTAATAAACTCCTTGAAACGCTTATCTAAAATAATAACCAAGTGAGATAAAAAATTATAACACTATTATTTATATTAAATCACAAGTATATTACCAACTAGAATTCTTATTTTATTGTCACAGTTTTGGACTAATAAAATTTGAGTCTCAATTGTAGTGACCATTTCTGGTAAGACAGGTGGTCCGTCAGGATTAATTAGACACAAATGCTTATTACAGAAAAGAACAATATGTTCTACAATATTTGACAAGAGATTTTTACTAAAAAGAGAAAAAGTTAATTAACTATTTATAAATTAACACAATCATATAGTAATCAATACTTGTTGGAATCATTATCCTTTAGGATGTATAAAATAAGATCTTTTAATTGTTTTTTGAATACCGTGTCATTAGGAATAAGAGTTGTAGTTGTTGATATTGTCAGAATAAATGTAGATGCTGCGAGAATCAAAAGATTTAGCTCTTTATTAGTTGCCAAATATCGATCTTTATCCAATGATAAAGCCTGAAAATAATAAACAGCTATTTTATAAACACTTAAAATTGTAATTTTATTACCTCTGGGAATATATCATTTTCGTTCCAATCAAATATTTCCATATAAGCTCGTACAATTATATCGTGATGAGGTTCTGTACGGTTTTCAAAATTAATATGGCGTTTTAACCATTCAGCAGTAAGATTTAAAGCATCTGTTAATAATTTTTAATTAATAAAAAATATTTAATTGAATATTACACAAAAAAGAATTGGGATTTACCAGGCTTAACTTTTAAATACTCTTCAAATTTTTCTCGTTCATAATCAGCACTACAGGCATGTAATGCTCGCCGTTGTGCAGTTATTGTGAAATTCGCCATGTCAAGTTTCATCAAGCTCAAAGTCTAAAAAAAAGTATTTAATATAATACAGAAAAACTCAAAATGTTAGGTTAAAATAAATAAATACCAATGGCATCTAAAATATATTTTTTAAGTTTTAAATACCAATATTTAAATTAATATGTGAATTTCCTAACTTTAATAACAGTCTACTGAAGCGCAGTGCATTACATATAATGACATTTTAGAAACAAATATCAAAATATTAGTGTTAGTCTCAAAAATGTACAGCAAATTTATTTACTTAAAAATATTAATCGGTTAAGTCACTGAATAAATGAATAGTACATAATTAAAAAAATATATATATTATACAAAATATTCATTAAACAATTTAATGAATAATTTTTTGTTTAAAGAAAAAATTCTAAACTTATACATTTTTAATAATTTGTCATAAATAATTAAAAAAAATTGATAGTTATTAATATTCTATGAATATTAAATAGAATTTAAACATTTAATTCACTTTAAATTAAGTACTTTGCAATTAAATATATTACATTATTTGTTTTTAACACTATTAGATAATTTGATCAAAAGTTTTGTAGTAGAATTGTCTAATTGCCTTCAACTTTATCGTAAAATAAATTCTTCTAAATCTTTTGACAAGTTAATTATTTAATATCATAACTATTTCACATGGGGGATTTATTTAAAAGTTATACATATTTATTTAAAATCTAAAATAACTATGTATATACATAAATACTAATTGAAGATTCAAAATTAAGACTTATATTTTTTATTGATTATTATATGATTGAACATCTGAAAATATTTTAGTAAATTTTATTTGCTACATAATATACTGAAAAGTAGAATTTATTTTGACCACATAACCATTTAAGCAAAGAATTTTCATCCAAAATTAAAATAAATAATACAGAATTGAAATGCTACAAAAAAATAATCTATGCATTTGTAAGAAAATTAAAGCAAAAAATAATAAAAAGAAGCAAAAAACAAACCTTTTTAAAATAGATATCTGCATACAGTACTAACTTTTTTTATTGTTAAAATTGTAAAAACAATAATTATTTTGTTATAACTTCAAAACAATATAAGAGTACTGAGTAGAATAAGAAAATTTACCATAATCTTTATCATAGGAACTTTGTCAATGCCAATTAATTTAGATTATATATTGTATTTAAACTATTTTCAATTTATTGTACTAAATATAATAATTAAAATTATTTTGCAATAATTAAATATTATGGTTGTTAGTCTTACAAAACAATGTTACTAATATCAATATGTCATTTTTAATTTATTCTGTGGTATAATAAAACATTTAACTAATTAAATTAATTATTTCAACTATTATTATGATAAAAAATTATTGAAATTACTTGATAAAATTAAATAAAAAAGATTTAGACAAGTATACATTGTTTTATCAGTTGCAAACATTTAAGTAATTATTTGATTCTCTAATTTAGTAATTTACCTCTATTATTCCTTTAAATATATCTACAGGATCATTTAATAGTGTTAGTGCACGTATTGAATCATCTCTTACCGGAGCACATATTTTTGACATCAAATTCAATATAAATTTGGTATAATACTGTTGATAAGAAAATATATAAGACAATCAATATTTCTAACTTTAATGGTTACGCATTTTTATATTTACTTCAAAATCCAAAGAGTTATTGTCTATCTGATTTTGTATAACCTCTACATCCAAAACTTGACCAATTTCTTCTTTTAATTTAGTATGCTGGTCCAACAACAAATTTGATAAGCTCTATAATAATTTTATTTTTTTTTAAATTAATAAAGTTACTAAATTAGTAAATCATTAGTAAACAAAAGATGTTACATACTGTTCGAATTTCTGATAAAAGTATCATAGCTTGTGTGTATTCAGGAGGATCATTGTTTAATTGCTCACGCAACAGCTCCCAAAATGCTTTATGCATTGTATCTTTGACTTGTTTCATTAAACTGATAGAATAAAATACAATCATTTAATATATATAAGAATCATATAATTAATGTTTATAATACTATTTTCAATTAATTTCCAGTTTTACCTATTATTTGGAGGTTCTTGAGGTTCCAATTTAAAATTTTCATTAACTGCTATTTCGTGAACAAGAGCAATATCTTCTAATTGTTTAGCAGCTACCATAATTTCAGGTAATGATAAGAATCTTGGAGGTGACGCGGCTGTTATATTATTTAACCTGAAGATTATAATAAAACAGATTAACAGATATATAATAATCAATAATAAAAATACTATCATATTAAGTTATTACATTTCTTGACGAGCACTAGGAATAGATCTACTCGGTGTTGATGCATTGTCTTGATCATTATTGGGTGAATTATCTGAATTCATTTTAAATATACGCGTTTGTAATAAGATTTAATAGCTGCAAAAAATAAAAATAAAAATATTTTTGGTAAATTTAAATGTTTTAAAATATGAGCCATTAGGTTGTGGTTTTTTTTTTTTGGTTATTAGTGATATTGTCTAACACAAAAAGCTCTAATAGAATAAAATAATAACCAACACTCATTTTTATGTATTTTATGCTGAAACTAATTTTTGTTGACAATGTTGTTACAGAAATATTCAATTAGATATTACATTATTAAACCATTTACCACTTGTACTTTACCACTATGTTAAATACTCAATTATTGATAATAAATGGCTTTTATAGTACAATAAGTATTAATAAAAATTTAACCAATCAAATAATATAAAAAATAGACATTGTATATTATATGAATACCTTTATCCTAACAATATGTATGTATGAAGTATAAAATATGTAAAATTATATCAGTTTAAACTTTAAATGACCAAAAAATTATAAAAACTGAAATTATCAATAAATTGACACTAAACATGAGGAAAATAAACTAAAATAAATTTTATAAAACAAATAAAAAATTTAAACTACTTTAGATTTATTATTATCTAAGTGTTATAAAAAATAACTTTTAATATTTAAAATATTTCTAATGATAAGACAATATATAAAGTAGTTAAATAAAGAATAAATTAAATTTGGAAAGTGTCAAAAAAATATAAATACCTATATAAAATGGTAAAAATGTTTACTTGTTTAAGTATGTACACAAAATATGTCTTGAAGTGAAACCCAGAGAACAAATAATAAAATTAAACACAAAAATGTATCACAACTGAATGGAAATGGAAATATGTACAAGAACCAAATGTGGTTGTTTCAGCAGTCACAAAGGAATTATCTAAGGACTGACAATCAATGTATTAGGATTTATTATATTTCATACCATACATGACATGTATGTGATACATTAATATACCTTTATGGTCATAGACCTTGATACTATAGATTTTAGAAAGTTTATTATGTGAAAATTTACTACAATACCTATAACTACCCCACATATTTTTGCTGAAATCAGTTTTCGGAAAAAATAAAATCATCAAAATTAATCAAAATCCTTAGTTACACAAATTGAATACAGGGGTCCAAAGTTACGTGTAAGACATAACATTTTTATGTGTTTGTATATATTATAACTAATAGAAAAGTATTGATTGAATAACTTCAAATTAAATTTCCGGAACGTCAATTGATGGCTTCAAGTGCTCCTACGCATAAACGTCATAAAACAATGGTAATGAATTGATGAAACGACTCATTTTCTGAACTGAAAATTTCCCAAAAAATTACATGGAACGAAATTGTAAGATGAATATTTTGATAGTACAAAATAAAATTAAAAGAATAATTTAATTTATGAATTTTTACAGGATTTACTGTGATATTATATTTTTAAATACTAATGAAATAAATAATAATAGGTAATTTAACTATAAAGTAGAATTAAATTATTATTTGTAAACACGATTATCGTGTTGTTACCTTATATAATATTATATTATTAAAATATAATGCCTTTAAAAGTCTTCATCTATGCCTTAAATCACAACGTTCACAACAATGTTATTATTTTTGTCGTCCACACTCCGCAACAACTACAGGCTAGTAGGCTACAGCTGTTGATAAAATGAATCATAATATTATTACCTAATATTGTTTTTATTGTTGGTAGATGGTTTACGATGACTTTCATTTATTTCATTTTGAATCTCGGTTGACACCACAAACCTGTTAACATATGATAATATAATATATACGTTTAGTGGTTGATACCAATAGCCAGGTTACCAAGTAAATAATTGAACTCCTATATAATTTACGCTGTGTCTAGATACCCGGGTGCCCGTGTCGTTAAGCGTACACGGACCCATCCGTGTATATATTCGATACCCGAATTGGTCGAATTGTTAACGCGCATGCGCCATAGACCCTATAATATTATTTCATGTTTATGTGCTATTTATAGACAAACTAATTTTATATTTTTTATTTTATTTTAATTTATTGTGACGAATTTATGATTTCCAACATTAATTTATTGTTTATTACATATGTATATTTTAAATGAACAAGTGCAGTCAAGGCTAATTTACAGATTTTATTAATTTATGGTAAAATATGTTTAATTTCTCCAGATTTAATCATGAGAGTATCAAATGTACTTGAATCACTATCATTGCACATCCTAATTAATATTTCCATCTCTGCTTGAACAGCATAAGAGTTTACTGATTGCCTAAATATTACTCCTTATTAAATAGTCACGACCAGACCCTTCCCTTAAGTATAGATAAATAATATCGAATGAAAGTTATGCACACACGGATCACGGTAAACATGACGAATGTATGATTCACTAAAATCTACTCAATGACAGATAACTACTTATCCCAATACGTCTCAGATTAAGATAAGAAAACGACTTTTCCAGATTATATGGACTATAAATATGACTATAAATACGTTATTTTAATTAAAATAATTCAAAATTTTACATAATATTATGCATTTAAAAGCCATATATATGCAATAAAAAAAAAAAACGTAAAATACAGAAATATGCAGTGCATGTCAAAAAGTTACAAAATATGCAAAAAAAAAAAAGCAAAATAAAACTTTAAATTTAAGATCTATTGATTAAAAATCAAACTTGTAACTTACCTAACTATTTCTTGGACTATTCAGAAAAAACATGTAAATGCATATAAATCCGAGCCCGGCTAATGTTACTACTAGATCACATGCCACCGCGATTCCGAAACGTTCGTATAACCGCTAATTTCCGGTAACCGGTCCCCGTCGGTCGACGCACACACATTACATAAAACGCTCATGACGTCATGGTAACATTCTCGGTGTCGCACAAATTAACTGAATGACCCCCAGCCATAAGACATATTATACATGTCAATGTAAAATATAATTTGTACACATATTTTTTGAAAATAATAAAAATACTATTAAAATTCTAACGATACCGAATTACCGACCGGCGACCACTTTGACCAGGTGTCAGATTTGCCGACTAAATATTGAAAAATCATGAGTGGGGGTGGGGAGGTAAGACACCCTCCCTCAAAGTACGGCCCTGATTACTATAGTCTTAGTCTATAAATATGATTATTGTCGTCATGATGATTTAAAATGATAGTACTCACTACTCTGAACACTGAACACGAAAGTTGACTAAATCTTTTGGTCAATAACTTCACCAGTTTATTAAACTATATTATTATACAACTGTTAGACACCTCAATGAAATCATCATACTTGTAAATATATTAGTAAAATATAGTTTATTATTCAAGTTAATACAATAATACTTAACTAGACAATGATTAATGACCGAAAAATAATTGGATTTATTTTGTAGGCTACATTTACTAAACAATTTAAATATAGTATTTTAATTATAGGATTTTAATTCCTAAAAATAGTAGCATATTAGTTTTTTGTTGAGTTCTGATTATCCTGCTTATTTTAATTGATGATTTTATTCTAAATTGATTATACACAGTACATACTTTATCCTCATTTTAATTACTTGTAATTTGTCTGTGTCTCATTTTGCTTTACGCCGTTTAATTTGCACAGCGCATGCTACTATAATAATAATAATAATAACAATATGTAAGGTATAATTGGTATAAATTGTAACGAGGACGAACATACACAAGTGAATTTAGAAATCTAAAATATGAGAGAGGTTGAATTTTTTTCAAAAAAAATATAAATCTGTAATTTTGGTACATATACCGATTTAATATATTATGTGTCATGAATACGTAATATTACAATTATCACATGTCCAAATAGTGAGGACCTTTAAAGTTTCCAAGACCCCTTCGATCCACGACTGTGAACATATAAGTATATGTTATGAACTAGAATTAATTTTATTCATAATAGGTATATATGAAGTATTGCGTTCAGTGCACTGCAAACGAGTAACCAAATTCCTGTATATGCGTTATATGTATAAGTACATATACTGTATATTTGTATACATACAATATATAAATAATAATATATAGGTATAAGTGTATAATAACACTACAGTGCAGCTGGCAACCGACTAAAATACAAGAAAAGAAAAATATTTTTTTTATTTACAACCTAGCATCGTGTTGTGAGAACAAAAATATATTGAAGAATATAATATGATAAACGACAGTAGGACTTGACTACCTATACATCTTCCGTTAACGTACTGCTGAACTGCATGACAACGATTCGCGTTTATTGTGCTTAAATATTAAATACGTTAGCCCGCCGTCACTATATGTTGTTACACTGCAGAGTTTCAAGAATTACACAATCTGTGTATATGAATATGGCTGTGTTTTCAAAAAATCAAAAAATGTGTTTAGTAAAAGCATTTAGGTGGGAGATCGAACCTCCAATAAAACCACGTACTACCCTACGTGCCTGCAACGCAACTACACAACATAGGTATAACAAAATAAATTTTAACTCCTAAAGTTTGTCCTTTGTGTTTTAGTTAATAGGTATTTGCGGTTATCCACTTAATTAAAACACAGTTATGTAGTAGTCACATAGTATACCTAGTTTGTACTTATTCCGGGCACTTAATTGTTTGATATTATTCTTTATGGGATAGATAATACTTAATAATAAATTAATTAAATTAGTCGTGGTTTAATTTGTGACCCGTCTTTGATGACTCATAGTGACCTAAGTTATTATATTATGGCTTCGGAATGTCAAATTTGAATTATCTACACAATCATCAAGCAAAGATTAAAATAAGGATTAAAGAAGCTGTAGCCCAAGATGCCGTATTGAGAATGTTTAACTAAGATCACTATTTTTTCGGTTATACTCCTATGTATTTTTTTTTATTATTTTTAAAATATAAAACAATCTGTACATTCATTAGCACATTAAGTAATTTAGATGACATAACATGTAAATAAACACAACGATAACATTTTAGGCTATAGCCTATGACTAATTAATAATTCATTAGTTATTACAGTAATACGTAAATACTTGTGTATATGAATAAATTCTTTGAATTTGACTTAAAAAAAAAAAATACTTTTAGTTTTTGCTCGATATACCAAAGTTTTTTGTTAGTACATTTGCTTAGTATACCTACCTAAAAGTTTATTTGTAAAATTTTTTTAAATATTATTTTTTTACTTGATATAAAAATTATATATTAAATTGTCGTGTTTCAGTGTAAGCGTTTAAATTATTTTTAAGCCACCACACCTTATTGTTGAATTTATTATTTTATTGCTTATTGCTCTCTTAAAATTTTAGATCAAATTGCGCCTGTGTTCAGCAGATATAATATTTTATTCAGATTTTGAGTGGTGTAAATGAAAATAACAACTTATGAAATATGTTTTAGGTTATACACTTAGGGAATACGACAAATAAGTAATAGCGTGTGCGTGTCTATAATATATTAATATATACGCCTATATATATATGGTAAAATATTTCGTATAATATGATATAAATTATCATTGATAATATTATTATATGTTATTATGGTGCACAAGATCAATTCTATATGTATGTTGTAATTGTATATATATGTCTCGCGCGCGAGTGGTAAACCCGTAAAAAAAATAATATTTTTATCGGTTCAAAATTAGTCATTATCCAATTAAACCTCTCATGGAGTGAATGTATACAATATAATATATATATATATATATATATATTATAGTTGAGTCGTGTGTCCGAAAAAATGGTTTTAATATAATAATATCACGGAATTGTAATACACATAACATAGGATAGGTAATAAATTATTTCAACAGCGATTTTTTCGATACCAAAAAAATGACCAAAACCAGTTTATAAACGCATAAATAACGGGGACGTTTTAAAGGAAACGCATATTGTCTATATTATATTCTATACTCTATAGGCACGACTGTATAATATATGTACTAAATATCTATATAATATACATTTATTTTACATACCCATAGAATCTATATTTTACAATAAAATAATAGACGTGCCTGTAATGTTTGAGACCAAATAGACAAAAGGAGAGAATAATTTACACGATTTGATTATATAATAATTAAAAATCTTCCGCTTAAAATATTTATACGATATTAAATAATTATCATGTTTGCAACGCTGTAATTAACATTTTATATTGTTAAACAGTTTGTTCAATTATTTATTTACTTTGAAATCGAAATGCCGACGCTCAAGGTCACTGGGTAATGTTTCAAAAGCTATATTTACTGAAGTAAAATTATGTGAAGGATTTACTGATTACTATAGTAATAAATAATGTATATAGTTATATGACTATACCTAAAATATTGTTGTAAATACTTGTCATAGGTGGGTATGTTTTATCTACAACCCTTTTGCCGAGTTTGCTTGTAATTAATTGTGTTAATTTATAAAAAAAAAAAAATATTGAATTGGCTCATATATTAGGTAATAGATTATTTTATTAAATGATTGATCTATGACAAGTAAAAATAGTGAAAAATGATAAATCGGTGACAACGACGGGATTCTTTGAATGCATACCTATAATAAAATATAATATATATATATCACACATACACCGGACGTGCGTTAATATTAGCACTCAAAATTTATATAGTATAAAAGTTTTTAGGT